AGGAAGACCCCTAACATAATGGAATGATGTTATGCTTAAGCTTAAGATTGTGAGGTTGGCACAGGACTGGGCAGTGTTTTGTTCTGTTATAATGTCGCTATGGGTTGGAACCAACTCAGTGGCACCTAATAACCAAAACAACAACAACATGACAGGTAGTGTTGTATTTCAAGATAAATGTTGAAATGTCTTTTTGAAAATGAATGCCATGCCATTCTTCTTGAGTTTGTCATATCTGTCGTAGTAAGCCATATGTTTGTCTAATTCAAAATGGCTAGTGCCCATCTGTTTCAGCTCAGTGATGCCTAGAATAATGATTTTTATGCATTCAATTTCAATTTTAACTACTTCTAATTTTCCCTTTCAGAAGTGGTCTGCCTTTCCTTATTCCTAGACTGTCTTAGTCTGGAAACTCCACTGCAACCAGGATATAGTGTAGCATCTCTAAATTCTGGATACACTCTCCCTACCACTGAGCATTGTTGTTGTGGTTTGTTAGCTTGTTTATTTATATCTTATATGAACTTCATTGATAACTCTTCTTCTCCTATGCTATGGGATTGATGATGTTTCTACTTTGTTTTTTTAGGTTCTAAAATTTGCCTCTCAGATTGTTACCATGATTGTATTGCTTTGTGTTCATTCAGCGATTGGTCAGAGCTGAAACTTAAATGCCTCAAAGAGTAAGGATTTCAACCTCAGGTGATAGATCTGGGTGGACTAAGGATTGCATACATATCTCAGACCATTTTCAAGTTTTCCACCAGAACCTCTCGTATGTCCTCTGTACCTCTGCATAGACTCCATTGTCTTCAGGTATTTCCCTCACATGCATACAGAGTTAAGGAGAACCCTCCTAAATCTCTAGAGTTGCTCATCTCTACAGCTCTCCTCTCTAATAATTTTCTCTATCTGGTGCTTTACCCTATGAATCAAGAGTCTTTGGCCTCTGTGGGCCCCACCTCCATATCCTTAATTTAGGAATACTGCCTAGCTTCAACTAGGTCTGTAAACTTGTGTCATGGTCTGTAAACTTTCTGAAGGCACTAAGAAGGGACAATTGTAGGGCTCATCTTATTTATTTTTTGCCTCAAATGGATCCCTACTGCGACGACATAAGGCCTACTCTCTTAAGAATCCATTAATTTTGTCTAGTTTTCTGTTTCATGAGAAAAGTTAAGCCTATACTCTGTTGCTCCATTATGGATAAGAATAATATAAGTATAAATTATCCATGGAAAATGTTGAATTTTGATGCAGGTTAACCTTGTGTGTTTTGGTAAGGGTAGTGGGCATAGGCGAAGAGTTGAAGAAGCCACTTTAGTGTGCTGTACTAGTACTATGCATAGCTCTAACTCTTCATTTATGTTTAAATATACCACAAACAATTTCACTGGCCAAAAATTCTGGAAAAATTTATTGGCCAAAATTTTCTGCGTCTATTGTTTCCAGGGTAATTTCCCTAATATTCTTAGAAGATACCTCATTTGAGTCAATTGAATAGAATACATGCAAACATCTAGAATCCTAGAACATATAAGTAATTTTGCCATAAAATACCTTTTTATTAGAAGTCATAACATGACTCTTTGTTTTTTTCAGGGAGAAGTTGCTGAAGTTATATTTGTAGGTGCAAACCCAAAGAATTCAGCAGAAAACCAGGTAAACATTAAGAATTCTGTTAACAATTTAAAGTCCATGTTTAACCTTTAATTTATTTGACTGTCCTTCTAGAGGTTAACAGTCTAAAGATAAAATGTGACAAATCCTTTTGGCTTTTTTTTTTGTGGTGGTGGTGGAGTCAGTTCCGACTCATCGCGACCCTGCACAGGGTTTCCGAGGCTGTAAAGATTTATGATAGATGTGGGAAATTTTCTAAGCATATAGTTAATATGGCATTGAGTCTGGAGAAAAGTATACAGAAAATATTAAATAGGGTCTACTTTGGATTATGCTTAGAGCAATGAATATACAACTGCCTCGTCTCTTGAGAAGATGCTAGTTTGAACATAACCGCATTTATGGATTCAAATGTGAAATTTTAGTATGTTTCATAAAATAATTTAAGGATCAAGAAGGTGAAGTGTGCCTTTAACTCCTTCTTCCTCACTTTTTGGCCCTTTCTACTTCTCTAGATTGCTATTTCTGGCCTTATCTCTGCCTTTGTGGAATGACCATATGTCCCCTGGGTAATCCATGTCTGTTCCACCAGCATGGAGTCCTGGCCATTGTGCTTTAAGTTTTCCTGCACTGACCATTTCTTTATTGTTTACTGTTAGCAGTAATGGAGTCCCGGTGTGTCTCTCAGTACTGGATGGCGAGCCACAAAGTGTGGTTGGTTCAAACCTACCAGCTGCTCCTTGGAAACCCTATATGGGATTGCTGTCAGTCAGAATTAACTCAATGGCACTTACAACAATAACAACATTAGCGATAATAGGGCATTTTTTTATTTAGTCTTGAAAAATAATACAAGCAATACATGTCTCATGTAAAATAAAATATTATGCAAGTTAATAGTACAAAGAACTCTTCCTCCCACCTGCCTACCAGAGGAAATCACTGTAAACTATTAGTTTCTTACATATCATTTCAGATTTTTTTTTGTTTTTATGATATACATACAATAAATTCTATATATATGTACTATATAGATAAAACTAAGTAACTTTATTCTTCTGTAACTTTAAGGGGTCCTGGTTTGGCTCTATGGGTTAATGCGCCAGACTGCAAAGCCGTTTGAACTGCAAGGTTGGCAGTTCAAGCTTACCAGCTACTCCTTGGAAACCCTATGGGTTGCTATGGGTCGGAACTGACTCGATGGCTTTTAACAACAACAACATAACTTTAAGAATGTTTTTGTAAGTACAAAAGAAATACAGGGACACATCCTAGTTGTAAGAATTCCAACAATAAATATATAGAAGAAAAAGTAAGTAGGCACACGAAAGCATTATCCAGGTCAGTATTACCAAGTATGGCTATGGCTGAAGATGTATTTGCACTGTTGATGAACCATTCTTCCCAGGGTCCACAGTCACTTATAAAACAGAGCAGCTTTTTTTTAAATGGGCATTCCCATTTCTGCTCATTGAAATGTAACTAATGCCATCATGGGCTCCTGGTGTGGCGCTGTAGATAAGCACTAGACTGTTAACCACAAGATCAGCAGTTCAAGCCCGCCAGCTTCTCCTTGGAAACCCTGTAGCACTTAACCACAACAATATTATCATAGCATCAATTTTGGCAACATGACATTGTCAAATATGACACTGTGGAAAGGTGTTGTACTGCTTATATAGTAAAAATGCACTTGCTTTGAATAATTTGTCTTCAAAATGAAGTTATGCCAAAATATAATTTACAAGTTTTTAATACCTTTGAAGATGTCAAAGTTTTATGTGAAAACTACAGGCTTAGCTGTTATCTGATATCCTTGGGTTGGAAAAATACTATGAAGGAGAAACAGAACAAAATGCTTAAAGCACCATACTAAGAACAGGAATGCTGTGAGACTCAATATAAAATCATCTCCATGCCCTTTATTGTCAATAGCCCTCACATCATCACTGTACTCATCAACAGTTATTGAATGCTTACTATTTACAGGCATTAGGCTAAGTGTTTTACATATATTATCACACTGTTGTTAAGTGCTGTCAAGTTGGTTCCAACTCATAGCAACCCTGTATAGGGTTTCTGAGGAGCAGCTATTCCAATTTAATTCTCACTACTACTCAAATGGAGTCCTGGTGTGGCACTGTGAGTTAATGCGCCAGACTGCAAAGCCGTTTGACTGCAAGGTGGGTGGTTCGAGCTCACCAGATGCTCCTTGGAAACCCTATACGGTGTGCTATGGGTCAGAATCGACTCGTCGGCAATTAACAACAACAACAACAACAACAACACAACTACTCAAATGGTAGCGTAGTGGTTACATATTGGGCTGCTAACCTTAAGGTCAGCAGTTCGAAACTACCAGCTGTTCTGCAGGAGAAACATGAGGCTTTCTGCTCCTGTAACGATTTATAGCCTTGGAAACCCTGTGCAGGGTCACTACGAGTCAGAACCGACTCCACGGTACTTAACAATAACAATACAACTACTCATATAACCATGGTGTGGTGCTGTAAGAAGGACTGGACTGAGAACTGCAATGTTGGCAGCTAGAACCCACCAGTTGGTCTTGGGAACCCTATACAGAGTCACTGTGTGTTGGAGCCAACTCGATGGCACACAACAGTAACTACTACTACCCAGTGAGTTAGGTTTCATTATCTCTGTTTTACAGATGAATAAACTAAGGCCCCAGAGATTAAGTAACTTGTATTAACTAATTATGCACCTGGAAGTGATTAAGATACGCAAATAGAGAGACAAGCCCTATGTTTTGTCCTTGATATTTCCAATCTGTACTTTTGACCCACTTACTAGGTGTTCCATCCTATCTTCTACTCTAGCTAAGGCTTACCCAATAGCACTCTGTCCAAAACAGACATAAATGAAAATGTCATTTCAAGTTACTGTGGTTAAGAAAACTTTATTGAATATGACCCATCGCTTGAATAGAGAAGATTTAAAAATGATCCCAGGGCCTTGCTATAAATAAGTGATCCATTCATCAAAAGTTTTCTTGAGCATAAATAAATAAAAGGAATGAGAGACTGTGATGGATTAAGGTAATTAGACACAGTTTTGCCATTAATGGACCCATGTTTTAGAGGATTTTGAGAGAAGTAGGAGCTTTATGCCTATAGCATCTTTTTCATTTGTCATAGTATTCAAACCTGTGCTTTATTTGAAGTGGAATTATTGGTCTGGAACAAATTGCTCTATGATGACATTTTTTTCGTGATGGCAAAATATCGGGATTGCCTTTATCACTCCAGGATGAGGATGATTTATACATCCTTTCCATTGTTCTTCTATTCTGGGTAGCACATTAACTAATAACTAATTTACCTGGAATGTAAAAGTGAAGACATGTTACCTGCTTTCCTCCAAAATCTTGAAGTGGTTAGAAAAAGTTTTGAAATACAAATCAAAAAAGGTGTCATGAAAAGGTTTAACTTACCTTTTTAAAAAAGCTCAAGTTTATTCCTTAGGCTCGTCTCTGTCCTAATTCCCACAATTTCTTATCAACTCTAAGATAATGCTTCATTCAAATTTCTAAAAAACGCATAGTGTTTTAGTAGACTGGATACATTACTATTCTGAAATTGTTTCATAGGATGGTAAGAGGAACACCTAAGACTTTAGTTGACATTCGAATACATTTTCTAACAAGTTATTGGTAGGTAAACATTTGTTGAGCAAAAAGGGGGAGTATTTATATGCAAGTGCTTATGGCTGACCAGTATGCTAATTTTATTTCAGACCTATCCCACCTTCCTCACTGTGGAGAAATATGAGGCCACTTCAGCATCATGGCAGACAGTGCATAACGACGCCTCCTGGGATACTTAGTGAGCATTTTTATTGAATAGTTTGTTTTTCAAGAGTTGGAAACTGTTGGCTAGTAATGCAGGCAAGACAATTGAGAAGATGGACTTAATGCATGCTATTAATGATAGCAAATTCCAAGAAGCCTTCTCGCCATATTGCATTGATTTATTAGACTTCATTTTGATTATGTTTTTCCATATGAAAGTATGGTATACACTTCTCTAAGACTAGGTGCTAATGAAGCTATGGACTTCATTACTTTGGACACCTGATCTTTTTTTTTTGCTCACAGTCATAGACATTACCCTGAAAAGTGGCTTGACTTGTTGCTAACTGGTTGGAAAGGGGACTTGGTGAGATGTCGCTACAGAGTCTGATATTTTTTCTTGGAAAAGTAACCCATAACCAACATGTATTGTCTACTTATTTGAGTTACTGAAGCAAAAGAGATTTGAGTGCGTAACACTTAACCCACTCAAGCAAGGAGGGAATAGGTTCCTGGAGTCTCCTCAGAGAAAGAGAGATCGCAGCATCTTTTGTTACCAAGTTCCTGAGCTAAATAGATATTTTGAAAGATTTAACAATGTGCCTGAAATAAGAAAATGTTTCTGTTCCCATGTGTATAAGTTTCATACCACAAAACAGGGGCATGGAAGTGGGTAAGGTTATTGACAATTTGTGTCTAAATTAGATTGCCTCAAATTAAGTGATTATTTGTATGTTGGTTTGTTTCATGTGGCTAACTGCAAAATAGAGATCTAACCATGCTGTGGCTCATTTGATAGCCATAAATATATGCATATTTTTACTTCTGGTCTTTAGGACTCAAGGGTATAGGTGATTTAAAAAACAACAACAAAAAAATCCAAGAAATACTATTGTAAAACAAGTTTATATAGGTAATAAAAAGTGTTTATTTTCAAAAAGTAGAATCAGATTACCATTTAACTTTGAAGATGCTATGTGTATACATATATCTTGTTTATCAATAGCAGTATCATCAAAGATTTATTGAGATCACTGATCTTCATCATGGAAAAAGAGAATGTTGAGCATACCTTTTGTGACTAAAGAACTTGCTCTTTATCTAACTGAGGACATCAGGTAGCTGAGTTTGTCTGAGTGTATCTAGAAGAATATCTGAACTCCTTGTCATGGTGTACTAGGACCATGATCAGACTCCCTCTGTTTCTCTCATTTCAACTATACTTCCATAATCCACAGTACCCTAGTCCTCACCTGTTCTCTGGCCACATCAAATTTGTTCCTGCTACAAACACTTTGTACTTTCTGTTCCTCCTTCTGGGAATATTCTTCCTTCAGGTCTGATTGAGCTTCTTGGTTATTCAGACCTGAGTTTCAAATGCTCCTCCTTAGACAGGTTTCTGTCATATTTTTCCTTTTGCTCTTTCACTTTAAATTTACTTATGAGTTTACTTGTTCGTGGACTTTCTTCCCCCTTCTGCCCCAGGAATCCCTAAGTTCCATAGTAGTTCACAGTAGCCCCTGACTTGTGATGCATTTTAGTAATGAGGAACTCGACTCACACCAGTTCATTTTGCTTTGTTTACTTCTTATCACTACTAACATGTGTTACATACAGTGTCACAATCTGTAGTTTGCCAGTGTTGTCCTTCTCAGATGTTCACTTGCCGGTGTTCAATGCTATGATTTATTATGAAAAACACTGCCACATAGCAGGCTATGGTGATGATAATAAAACGATAAGAGGTATTCTAGTCATACATCAGAACTGACGTATGGCCAAGTAGTTAGAATGGTACCTTGTCGTAAACTGGAGACTTGCTCACTATGGTATTCTGAGCACCTCTAGAATAGAGTCTGGCACATGTGATGTAGCGCTCTCTTAATATATAGTAATATGATCAATATATTTATTGCATTATAAGATAATTATTGATATTTATATAATCATCACTATATCAAACATATATGTATCAATCTAATTATTATATTAGAATATAATTTAATGGAATTAATATAATAATTAGTGTATAATTAAAATATTAATACAACTAATGGAGTCCCGATTTGGCACTGTGTGTTAATGTGCTAGACTGCAAGATCAGTTTGGGCCTCAAGGTTGGTGGTTCAAGCTCACCAGTTGCTCCTTGAAAACCCTAAGGGTCATTATGACTCAGAACTGACTCCATTTGTTTTGTTTT